GCTAATGGTAGGGCCCTGTCATTCTTAAAAAGGGCTATTAGGGCACCATCATCTGTTCTTCTGCCTTTACTCTCCTCTCAAGTCAAGAATTTCCTAGTGCTATCATGATCATTTTCTTTTGCAAATAAGATACGGTCATGTTTCACAGCAACCACTCTTTTCATTTCTTTGATTTATTAATGCAAGTAAGCTAATTCGGTTACTGATAAAGCCTATCAATTCATATATAAATATTACATTTTTCTGCAAAGAACAGAAAGGCTTATTGTACATGCAAGCTACAGAAGCACAAATCTATTAATGGAATTTATGGACGGACACATATTTAATAAGATCAAATAATAAACTAGAAACAATCATAATGTTAAGCACTATGTTCCAAACTTGAAAAGTAGATAAAATTTTTATGGGATACAGATATTTCTTCTAAGTTCAAAATTTTAAAGTCAAAATCCTTTAGATATAATTAATTACAAATGACACCCTATTAAATACCTTTAGCTCCAATTTTATATCTTCCTGTCTACAAATACATTTTGCTGAATTGGTATTTTTTTAAAAAAAACTATGTATAGAATGGAACAGATTCATTTTTATCATAAAAATTAACAATGTTATCTCAATAGCATATGTATACTAGTGTATAAATGCAGTGTACATTTATAGCATACACACATTAGAATATATGTATATACTTTTTGCCATGTTAAACACTCTTACTTAAACAGCAATATGCAAATTTCTAAATAAATGATGAAAGAGGGTGTTTTTGTAAAGTATCTGACTCTGAAACATTTTGAAATATATATTTCATATAGAAAGCATCCATGTGTGTGTGTGTGTACACACACATACAGGCATGCATACATGCATGCATGCATACAAACATAGTCAAATTATTTTGTTCTTTTGTTATTAAAACAAATCCACCCAGCTTTTCATTATTTTTTTTAATTTCCAGCAAATGGACATCAGAAATTAGCCCTTGGATTACTGTGAACTGGTCTGCTGTTTAAATATTCCTCAATAGCTCAAAACTATTTCTGATTCCCAACTTGTAATGGAGAATGTCTAAATCACTGCCAACTATAAAGCTCTGCTGTGGTTCTCTTAGCTACTTTCTTCTATTCCTATAAGCAAATCTTAGCCCTGTATTGTATTCACAATATAAATCAAACTGATAAATATATTTTGCAATGTGCTATTGACTGGCTTCTAGGGAGAATGCCTACTTATTGGTAAGACCGATGTAGGCATTGTCTAGAGTTGAAACTCAAACTCACCTATTTAACTAGCTTTGACTTAATCTGGGGTGCTTTATTAGCAACCAGTGTAAGACAAAGTAGCTAGTATAATACAGAGTGATGTTTAAATTAGTTTACAATTTGCTTGGGCTCATCTAGACCTACTCTGAACAAAGCCATTCAGAAATGTCAGCTGTGTTCCTAACCACTGTAACAAATTGTTGCCTGAACGCTGCACACCTAATGACTTCAAATTAGCTTCACTGCGATATTGCCTGACAGTTCGTTACGTCTGTTAGTAACATAGCTGGTGTATCATGACCAATAAATTGGTTTCAGTGTGGGCTGGGAAAGGGGCTTCCATCAATTTGATTAAAGAAATTACTGTAGCATTCAAAGCATAAAGACAAACTAGTTTAAGGAGACAGAAATAAGTTAACTGTACCAGAAAAACATTGCTCATGATTCAAAAGCTCGTTTATAAGCCATTGGTGAAGCAAACTCTGAACAACTAAATTTCTGCAGTGAAGAAAACATGGAGCAGCTCAGAGCTGTTTCCATCCCACCAAATTAGAATTTAGATGTATATTAATAATTGTTTTGTACTTAGTTTCAGAAAATAATTAAAATAAGTGAGAATTCTATTTTATATTGTTTATACTTCAGTGGGAAGGACAGTTAACTAGATCAGCATTTAGATAGCCCTAAAGAGAAAACAAACAAATAAACAAAAAAGCAAAACGCAAAATTATCAGTTAGGTACTGAAATTCTAAGGATTAATACAATTACCCTAAATGAATGAGAACTATTTACATGTATATGCCAGTTTCTGTGGATTTTTCTCTAACTAATTAAAGAATCACAGAATAGAGCATGCATTTTTCCAGAGGAAATTTCTCATCCATGACATACCATTGATCAGAGAGCATGGGATGGACATAAGAGGTGGGTTTCAGCAGGTTCTGACCAGTTCTGAAGAACTGGTAGCGGAAATTTTGAGTAGTTTGGAGATCCGGTAGTAAAACTTCTGACTGGCCCCACCCCCATCTATTCTCTGCCTCCCAAGTCTCAGCTGATTGGGAGGAAATGGGGATTTTGCAGTAACTTTCCCCTGGAGTGGGGTGGGAATGATTCTTCCTCTGCCATGCCCACCAAGCCACACCCACCAAGCCATGCCACGCCCACCAAGCTACACCCACAGAACCGGTAGTAAAAAATTTTGAAACCCACCACTGATGGACATCCTATGCTAAGTGTCTAGTCACAGTAAGCCATGTAACAAGTAAAGCCACATAACTAGGTCATGTAGATAACAAAAGCATTAGTGTTACTATCTACATGACATTATCTACATGTCATAACATTGTCTACATGTTCTATCTCCAGAAATCAAATCAAAATTAGTAGATTAATTTTAAATTATATCCAGTATGTGAGAGACTTTGTACTCCAGACAAGATTTGTTTTTCTTTTGTTTTCTTTTGATTTTTTTTCAAATATTAATAACACAAGTTCTCCCTTTTCCCCCAATTTACAGCTATGCTATTCCAAATAGTGTTTTTATCCTCTGGAACATGTTGAAATTAAGTGGGGAATGCATATGGAAGGGGAAAAAAACCGCCACGCCAATAGATGTAGTAATAAAAAATAAAAAGCAATTTAGTTGTACTATAGTCACTTTATATCCTCAATAGACAACAAAAACAATAGCAATAAAATTCTAATAAAATTAAGTAATATAACCCTGAACAAACATATTTTTATTCTATTTAAATTCATCTCATTCTTTCTGAAGAAGAATGCTTGACAAGTAGACCAAAGAGATATTCCAATAAAAATATAGAATTCTGGTCCACAAATAAATAGCTAAGAAAAAATTCTGAACAATCGGAGATTTTGCAAATCAAAGGATATGACAAAGTTATTGCAAAAATCCTTATAGAAGCAGCAATACAGGAATTTTGATTGCACCTTTGCACAAGGACAAAATCTTTGTAAGTAAAGATACAGTTAAAACGTATCAGTAAAACAGACCATGCCCAATAAATTAAACCTGACATTAACAGTCAGTCCAGCTTATCTCCCAAAGGCCTACCTGATTTTTAAATTAAATTAATTTTATTTTATTGCCTGCTTGCAGAAGGATAACAGAGAGGGAACTCAACTATGCTGCCTTGGCAGTTAGCTGCAAAACTTGATAGCAACCACCCAAAAAAAGGTCCTCTCTTGCATTCCCTTTCCATGTGGGGTGGCAGAACAAGAAAAGGATCTAGTCTTGTATGGACCTGGAAAGCTCAAGCAGGCTTATAATGGAAACAGCAACCTTTTGGGTAGGAGTGCTTCTGAATCATAGAAGTATTTAGTATACTGAATTGTGAACCCGCAGTGGATCAAAGGAACTCCATGTTCATGTCAACAAACTCAGTGAACAGACTATCTCTGGTTGGCTCCGAGCACACTTCAAAAGCCAGCTCCCCAACAGTGCCCTCTGCTTGCTTTGTCTTGGCCTGCAAGAAGCCTTGAACCAGCTCTGAGTGGGAAGATGATTGCTCTGAAAGTGGGCTAGATATCACATGAAGTTTGAAAAAAGTCAAAACTGCTTCACTATAGATTAAGTTTATCATAAAATTAAGGTTGCTTTCTTCTTTTTTTTTAAAAAAAACAATCTGAAGAGATGGAAGTAGAGCGATATAGCTATTTTAGGGCATTGAGTGAAATGCACAAATACAGCCTTCCATCTAGCTAGAGCATAAATAGGTATTTCATTCTTCGTCTTCTCACCTCCTGAATTTAAGATCTTTGAAAAGGGAAGGAAAAAAAAATGACAGCTCTGCAAACTGTCCGGTCTATTAATTCACTGAGCAGTTAAGAGAATGGAAAGCTATAATATCCATGCAGGCTTCTCAATACTCTAGGGGGGGGAAAGAATATCCCAAATCAGAGCTGAAGTATCAGCGTGTGCATATCTGTGCGTGTCTGTGTGTGGATGGGGGTCTGTTTGCAATAGACCCCATCCACAATTCCAGTGAAGGCAGCTAATGGAAAAACATGTTTTTTTTCTTACACGTGAATATTTGCATATCTTTAACATACTTTGGAATGTTCAAGCGGCAACCGCCCCCCCCCATTGTGGCAGTTAAACTTACCCCCGTTTATTTTGTTCAAAATTAAATAAAAATATTTTAAGTTCCTTCCTTCTTTATAACCCAACAGAAGTATCAACAATGTGTTGTACCAATGTGTGAGCAGGACAGTTGTAACTAGCTTGCAAGTGGCAGAAATAACAATGGTGGGATAAGCTGAGGAAAACCTCATCCACTTTAATACTTCAACATTCAAGTGCACTTTTACTAGATGTTCCTTAAAAAAATATCATCAGTTGGCCAGATACCCTTAGATTTCCAACAAAAAAATCCATGGATTTTGCATGGAGCATATAACAGTATAAAGAAACTCACATACAGAAAATGTCAAATGGGCTTTCTTATTGTATCCAGGCATAGGAATTCATCTTTGGAGGTAGAGATCAATGGGAAAACTTAGGTAGCAGCTAGACCAAGTGCATAATGGCACACAAGGGCTAGAGATATAGGACACCTTAGACCTATCTTTGAAGTCATATTTACAATCCCATTTGTTGTAATAATTATTAAAAGAATACGCAAGCCATTCTGAAATAGCAAAAGCATACTTTGAAAAATAATGTCATAAAAACAATTAAAAAAAGCATTTTTGGTAAGATACACAGCATGTACCTGGAATATGTTTAGCCCATCCAATAATGACCACCAGTTCTCTGTCTGCCAAATCACAAAGTGTGGTGAGAGCCTTGATGTCACTGTCAGGCACAGTGGGATCAGGCATGGCATAGATCTTCTCTGGTTCAGCCACCAGCAAATGGGAGACAATCTTGTTATCTGTAAAGACAGATAAAACATAGGTTACTCTACTTCTGTAACAACCACAACTGCTGCTATAATAAAATGGGAATTCACTCCCTCCTTACAGCAAAAGATCTGGGTACTCTGGTGGATGACAAGTTTAACAAGAGCCAAAAACATAATAAAGTTGCAGCAAAAGTAAATCTAGTCTAAAGAGTGGGATTATGAAGATGGAAATTGTTGCAATTCTATGGAGGAAACAAATAAATTGGGGCTTATGCAATATGCAGTCCCTCCATCCTCCTATTCATATGTATCCAACACTGCCCATCAGTAAGAGAGAAAGGTTGCTTGTTAACAAAAGCCAGAGTTACAAGAAATGTAAGAATTAAATTTGTGATGATTGGATTAAAAAAATCAGATTTTTTTAAGTGGAAGCTCATTATCCAGGAATATTCTAAGAACATTTTGATCTAGGAAATGTTGCCACCGCATTAGACTGAGCCTAATAACACCTACATTCAAGAGAATGTAGTCTATTTGGACCATTTGAAATTATAGGTAGTTATCAATTTATGACCATTTCTGTTGTTAAGTGAAACATTTGTTAAGTGAATTTTGCCCCCTTTTATGACCTTCCTTGCTGCAGTTGTTAAGTTAATCACTGCAGTTGTTAAGTTAGTGTCATGGTTGTTACATGAATCTGGTTTTACCATTGACTTTGCTTGTCAAAAAGTCGCAAAAGGGGATCACATGACCCGGGAGCTGCAACCATCATAAATATGAGTCAATTGCCAAGCATCTGAATTTTGATCACATGACCGTGGGATGCTGCAATGGTCATAATTGTGAAAAATGGTCATAAGCCACTTTTTTCAGTGCCGTTGTTAACTTTGAACGGTCACTAAATGGACTGTTGTAAGTCGAGGATTACCTTATATGCTTTTCCATATGGAAAAAGAGAGATAAGGATAAATCAGATAAAAATGAAAAAGCTGAACTCTATAATTTGTAGTTACTGCCTCCATTTAGCATTTTCTATCACTAAAACTAGATTTTACCTAATGTGAAGAATTCTGTTTGCAATATTTTACAGCCCCTATTCTTTTGCTCAGTTCCATTTTTAATGAACATTTTTTATTTTGAGTAGGAAAAAAAACTACAGCCGAGTTGTGTAAATATACATGATTTGTGATAATTATCATACTATGAACCGAAGTCAATATTCTCATATAACAGGAGCTAAAATTAATGCTACACCAAATGGACACCATTACAGAATCAAAACAAATTGAGTTTAATATATACAGGTCCATATTTACTAATTATACCAGTATTAATTTCATTACATTTTTAGGAAATCCGATAACAAGTATTCCAAGGCCTTGGATAGTCACCATATCTTTCCATTGATATATAATTTTATGGTACTACTCCCCCCCCCCCCAAAAAAATGGTGTTATTAGCTAATTTTAGAAAATACACTTTTCCCAAAAGGTTTCCACAACTTTAGCCACTATTGTATACAACATTTTATGCTTCTTGTAGAGAGAGTCATATATAATTTAGACCCACTATCTACAGATTTGAATCAGAATATTATGCAATGGAAATGCTCCATCCTAAGGAATGGAGAAAATATTTACTTCAGTCCATCAGTGCTTTCTTCTTTAGAGTTGAAAAGTTCACAAACACTCTTTTCCAAACATCCTGGTTTTTATGACTTGTTTTATCTTAAATTGTTATTGTTAGATCAGTATGGTTTTACTTCTTTTACTATGACTAAGTACCATACTATAGTTTGTACAGTATGATGGAATATCTCTTCTAATCCTTCTTAGATACTTTAGATTAATTATGTTTTTTTTTCAGTGGTGAAATCTGAACCGGTTTGCTACTGGTTCACTGGCCATGCATGTGTGCTGCGCACCAAGTGTGCGCTGTGCATGTGCAGTTCACATCAAATGCGTGCTGCACGTGCATGCACTGTGCACACCAAAAGGAGGCTTGGGAAGGTAAGTAGAACAATGAGGGGGAAATCAGCTGTGGTGCATGATCTTGGGAACCTTTTAAAAACTTTTTAAAAGCATTTTTTACTACCAGTTCGGGCGAATAGGTAGTAAAAAAATGCTTTAGAAAAGTAAAAAAAAAAGGCTCAGATGATCACAGCTGTGTCGCACAATCGTCCGAGCCTCTTGAACATCTTCAGTTCTACACTCTACACTTCTATCCCCAATTCTTCTCATCATTCCCTCTTTTCAGCATCTTTTACCTCTTTTCTTGATCTTCAACTGAAGCTCTACCTCAATTCTTCTACCTCTTATATTCAAATGAAGCTCTACCTCAATTGTTCAGATTGTCTGTCAAACTTACAATTTTAACAAATGCCACATGCCCACCCCCAGTTGCTCTTTTCTCTGCATAATCTGGCTTCAATCTCCTTTGTCTGACTAGTTATTCCATGGTTGCTGGACCCATTCAACCAATCCTCCCCATTCAACCAATCCTCCCCATTCATTCAGCATCCCATATTTGATCAGGAAAAGAATGGAAGAAGTTGTTATAATCATAATCCTATAGGAATGCATGTGATCAGCTAACTTAAAAATTCATTTACAAGGTGTTATGTGGAAAAAAACCCCAAGAGGAAGATTCTTGAAGGTACTTATATTCAGATGCCAGAAGTCCATATTTTAACCTTTGGAATCTGATAATGTCTACCAATTCTGATACTTTCTGAAAGTAAATTTTAAAAATTAATAGAGGTTAAGTTTATCAATAGGTATTAGAATATACCCTTGAGAGCTGTTTACCTTAGAAACAGTCTGAATCACCAGCTATAAATCTAAAATATTTGTTGCTAGCTAGCTAGTGGGAGAAGGCTGAAGTCTTGTTTCTGAACTTCCTAGATGAATTTGATTAGCTAGGGATGTTCTTCTGTTCTTAGAAAAATCTGAACAGAACCGTACAACTCATAATATGCAGATCTTTTTAGACATAAAGTTAAATGTAGGAAAAGCTATAGATCTTTGAGACCTTATTGCTACCTAATGTACAAATAGTTGTACAAATGAACCAATAGAATACAGCTCCACCAATCCTAGAAAAAAAAAATTAAAACATACACACTAAATTTAGAAGATCGTACAATTAGACTGAATATTACACACAGGAACCAACTTAAATTCTTCATACCATATTTTCATTTGCATGATGCACATGATTTCACTTCTAACAAAATGAAATTCAATGTAGAGAAAAGTAAGGTCCTACATTTATGGAAGAAAAACCAAATGACAGGTATAGAATAGGTGGTACCTGGCTCAATAGTAGTAACTGTGAGAGAGATTTGTGTGAACAATGATTTAAATATGAGACACAGCAGTGTGTTGCAGCTGCCAAAAAAGCGAACACAGTCTGGGCTGCATTAATAGAGGGATAGAATCAAAATTCCATGAAGTGCTAATACCACTTTATAATGCCTTAGTAAGATCCCACTTGGAATATTGTATCCAGTTTTGGTCACCACAATATAAAAAAGATGCTGAGACTTTAGAAAAAGTAGAAAGAAGAGCAACAAAGATGATTAGGGGATGGGGGAAAAAACAGGAAGAATGGTTGAAGGAATTGGGTATGTCTTATTTAATGAAAAAAGGACTAGAAGTAACATGATAGCAGTGTTCCAATATCTAAGGGGCTGCCACAAAGAAGAGGGAGTCAACCTATTCTCAAAAGCATCTGAAGGCAGGACAAGAAACAAGGGATGGAAACTAATCAAGAAGAGAAGCAACCTAGAACTAAGAAGAAATTTCCTGACAGTTAGAACAATTAATCAGTGGAACAACTTGCCTCCACAGATTCAACAATGGAGGTTTTTGAGAAGAGATAGGACAACGATTTATCTGAAATGGTATAGTGTTTCCTGATTGAGAAGAACTATGGTTGGCCTGGAAGACCTCCAAGGTCCCTTCCAAGTCTGTTATTCTGTTACTCATGTCATGCAAATATTTGATTTTAAAAGGAACACTGCAGTTTGTGGACAACTTTTTCACAGCGATATTTTATAAAGATAAATTTTTCAGCTTTAAAGAGGAAAGGGGGAGAGAATATGACTTTAGGAACAGGTGATATATTTAAGATCCTCAGGAAAAACATCAAATAAAATCCTTCTAAAAGTCATTGAAATACATAAATTCATGTATGCACAATACTGGTTGAGCAAACCAATACTGGTTGCACAATACTGGTTGAGTGAACTCTAATCTCCTGCTTGATCAAGTTGAGAAAACCTGGGGGAGAAGAAACTATAATTTCTCTCACACTTTGAATTCTACTCTTTGAAATTTGAAAGTTTATAACAAATATATTTAAATATGTAACCACTATACCATGTATATACCATATATTGAAAACATTCACAGCTTGGTGAAAACAAGGCACAGTTGCTGGTTGTGTTTGTTTTTTTTTTAATTTGATTTATATGCCGCCCTCCTCCAGAGACTCAGGGCGGCTTACAATGCGTTAAGCAATAGCCTTCATACTTTTGTATATTTTTACAAAGTCAGCTTATTGCCCCCACAAACTGGGTCCTCATTTCACCTACCTTAGAAAGGATGGAAGGCTGAGTCAATCTTGAGCCTGGTGAGATTCGAACTTACAGTAATTGCAGACAGCTGGTGTTAATCACAATGCTATCAGTCTGCTGAGCCACCAGGCCCTGTTCAGTGTTCAGCCTTGCACGCTAACTGTGATCATTTTTGTGTTTTTAATAATTGGAAAAAAGCAAGTTAAGCAAAGTTCTCCAACTATTTAACTGATTTAACCAACAACTTACATGCAGAGGTTTCCACCAGGTTCAGCAATAAAGCTTAACTATGTATTGAAATTGCAGCTCATTTTTTAAAAATGACAAAGCTCATTCCAAAAAGGTTTTTTAAATGCTCTGTTGTGTAATTTATTCTGGAGTTCTGATCTATTTGTCTCCAGCATTTTACAAATGTGTATGTCAGAAAGGTGAGGTATGTCAGTCCTTCATAAAACAAATGCAAAAGCCAATTGCAAGGCATTGCATCAAACATGCTTTATTATTATTAATAAGGGCTTCTTTGAAATGACAAGAGGAACACTAAGTCCGTAATGCATCACTTGTGAATGCTGTTGATGTGGGAGATGTAATGGAAAAGGGCTGTGTTAAAACTGAGGGTATATTCTACCTATTGCAGATCCTATACTCACATTAACAGAACAGACAATTAAAAATGGTTTTAATCATATTATTAAAAAAGCCTGGGAGATAGATGTTCTTATGTCTCAAAATTGCAGGAGCTCTGGCAACAAAATAAATATCCCATCCCATCCCACTCTACTACCATTTTCAAAATTGATTAATGATGAATATTTATATGATTTACAGATAATGGCATTTCAGCAATTTCTGAAAACCAATAAAGAGTTTTCCACTATAGTATTAAATTTTGATTGGGAAAAATTTGTGGTGAGATGGGCAGCAAACAAATTTAATAAATAAATAATAAATAAAAAGATACATACTAATGGAGATATTTTTATTACTGTAATTGATTGGCTTATCAAATATTGCTTTTTTAACAGTTTGCTCTATCTTCTATCGGTGCAGTGGTTCAGCGGTTAAGACACTGGGTTTGCCGGCTGGAAAGCTGGCAGCTCAGGTTCAAGACCTGAGTATCACATAAAGGGAGTGAGTTCCCATCCTCACCCCGGCTCCTGCCCACCTAACAATTTGAAAGCATGCAAATGTGAGTAGATAAATAGGTACCAGTTCAGTAGGAAGGTAACAGCACTCCATGACAGCAACATGACCACAGAAATGTCTTTTGACAGCACTGGCTCACTGGCTCAAACAGAGATGAGCACTGCCCCTATAGCCAGCAACAACTAGTGGAGTAAAATCTCCAGGGACTCCTTTACCTTTATCTACCTACCTTCCATAACAAAATTAGCAAAACAAAAACAAACAAACAAACAAAAACAAACCCTGACAGAATCCAGAAAATCTGTCTATTTATTTCTTAAAAGCAATTTTACTGTTTCCTCGTTATATTTGCAAGAAGTTGATTTCCCAACAGTTGTGCTTCTATTTCATTGCGAAGGGGGTGGGAAATTAGGAATCTCTTACAATGTTACGTGAAAAGCTGTAAACTAGCTTATCTTCCTAACAAATTAGAATTGAACTAGTTACTTTCTTATACTGTATATAACACAACATACTGCTTCTCTGTTAATTCCAATGGACCTACATAGAAGATACGATTTGAAATTAATAGGAGTTGCAAAAAAGGGTGGTAATATTCTTTAGACAGTGCCTATTCGTTACAGTATGTCTTTCTCAGGACTTCTCACTTCTGTATTGCACTCTTTCAATCTCCTACATTTTCAATCCGGCAGCATTAACCGAAGTCTGTGCTAAATAGGCTTAATTGTGTGTGCATGGCCGAGCTGTCAGCAATTCAACTCAATGGCACAAGATAAAATAAATAAAAAGCTGGCAATCTGTGCATCCAAAAAAATCTAAACCTCTAATGAAATTAAACACTAGAGTTCATTGAATGTTATTGTATTATCAGAAAGTTTTTTATTATAATGCGCAAAATCTGCTTAATGCAACCTTATATTGTATTTACAGAGGGGTAGAACAGCTTATGTGGACTGCGTGGAAGATGCCAGATTGGACAATTGAAAGTATAATCAGCATAATGATTTTTGGAAAGGCAAAATGAAACGATGCCATATGTTCACTTAAGCCTTAATTTTATGTAAAACTGGTTTGTTTTTCCTCTGACATCGCTAAAATGCCCTTTCACTTACAGTTCAGAACCTATTTATTTGCTTTCTAGGTCTCCATATGGCTCATGCGTATTGTACCCAGCAGAGTTCTGCGCTGGGGAATGACAGGTGAAAAACAACGTACTGCTTTTTGACACAACCAGGTAAGGGCCTTCAGTGCAGCATTTAAAACCCTTTATTACATTTGTCTCAAATAGGGCATTTGTACCCCAGTGGTTTATGCCACTGCTTAATGGCAGCCAGCTTGCAAGTACCATATGAAAGAATTTGCATTTATTGCCAATTCCTCTTGGTACAGGGTATGCAATTGATTTTTATACCGTGGAGTGTTATTACATTTTCTTTAGGGAATTAGCATGCATGAATTTGTATAATTTGCAAAATCTTTAATTTTAGTTTATATCTTGCTTTTTAAGTACCATTTGGATGTAAGAAAACTCATACCTGTTTTAACTACACACACAAATAAACCCTACCTTAATATATTTCATAGTTGTAGCACGTTGCTGTTTTATTGAAATACAGGTAGTGTTTCAACCTTCTATTGCTATAAATTAATGAGGCTCCTAATGCATTTTCATTGAGAGGTTGAGCAGTCAAATTCATCTAGTTAGTGAAAACTACAACATTTCATTCTTGTAAAATCTGAGACTAGAAGCTTCAATGAACTAATGATCCTAGCACAACCCATTTTATGTACCAGTGAAAATAAAGATAACTTGGAAATGTAAAATTTGTATAGCATAAATTGGGCATTATGAAACTCTTACCCTCAAAGCGTATTTTCTTCAGTTATTCTGAAAAAGGAACAAGGTAATAAAAATAAAAAAAGACAAAAATTGTTTATTCAAGACAGTATGCCAGTTTGTTTCTATTCCTTCATGGATTGATGACATCACATGTTACACTGCCTTCCTAGGTACTTACATGGCTTTTTGGCTGGCTGGACTAGTTGAGGATTCAGGTATGGACTATTTTCTGCATCTATTCTGCGCTTGTACTTCTGGCGACCACCACGTACTCTGTCTAAGCGCACTCCTAAACATGAAAAAAGAAAAGAAAGAAAAAGAAAGAAAGGTTTAATACAACTGAAATACTTTGTGCAATTATTTGAAAAATTTCAATAAATAAGCCAAAATTTCAGTTTACTCCCTATTAAACTACAATCCCAATTTTATTTATTTATTTATTTATTCAATTTGTATGCCGCCCCTCTCCGAAGACTCAGGGTGGCTCACAATGCATTTAAAATCATTATAAAAAACATTTAAAAATTAAAACATTAAAAACATTAAAACTCATTCACACCATTCATGGCCAGATCTCGCCAGATCGCAAGAGCGAGATCAACGGCCCCAGGCCTGCCGGAAAAGCCAGGTCTTCACCGCTTTTTGGAAGGCCAATAGAGTGGGGATGATCCGGACCTCAGGAGGTAACAGGTTCCAGAGAGCTGGGGCAGCCATAGAGAAGGCCCTCCCTCACGGGCCCGCCAGCCGGCATTGTTTAGCTGATGGGACCTGGAGGAGACCAACTCTGTGGGATCTTACTGGTCGTTGGGAGTTATACGGTAGAAGGCGGTCTCGAAGATACCCTGGCCCTGAGCCATGTAGGGCTTTAAAGGTAATAACCATTTTCCACTTAAAAAGCGGCTTAATATATTGTAAACATGGGATGTTCCTTGATTTTCAATGTGAAATGTCAAGAAAGTGCATCAATTTCCCATTTGAGAAAGATATCAACTATATTCCCTTCCTTAGTGCAGGGAGGGTTTCTTATCTCCAAGTTCTAAACCATGGTAGTGTTTGGGTGTTTTTATTCTGCAGGTAGTTCTGCTTGTTCTTCCCACAATGAAACGAGGCACAGCACAAGCATAGGATGTGGGGGCAGTTCTACTGGTGGTTTCTGTTTTGGTTGTCTCATAATGGTTATGATAAGAACAACAGAAAACTGGAACAACTTGGCTCTGAGAGTCTGGGAAATGTTGGAAGACTGATGACAATGTCTTTGGTCAAGTACCCTTTTAGAATTGGCCACATTGCAATTCCCAAATACAAAGCATTTCAAATAACCAAACAGCAGAAATAGTACAGAATAAAAATAATATTTTAAAATGATATCCAATATTTTGGAATAGCATTTCTTGGAGCATGGGAGTGATATCTTGCACAGTATAAAATTGCACTCCATACATATGGCAAGTGTTATGAAATTGAATTTCATAACTAAAGTCTAGGCAAGATTAGCAAAGGCAATATACAAACAAATATAACCCAAAGGATCAATACTTAAAAAGATAAAAGAAAGAGCATAAGAGCAATCTTTCATTTGAAACATTGTCCCGTATAGGAGAATAAGTTAGCATTGTTAATTTAAGAATAAAAATGCTAGCTAATGTTAATTAACACCTTAAATGAAATAATTTTAAAAATCTTAAATTATGCCATTTATGGAAAATAATGAGAGGAACAAGCATTACATGTGCTGCTTTTTGAAGAATATAAATCTAGGAAATAAATAAATGTCTATTTTTGCTTTATTGATCACATTAAGGCTTTAATGCTATACTGTACATTACAGAAAAATGTAGATAAAAACCCTTGTAGCATTTGGACTGAACCATCAAAAGTGCACAAAAGTTTTTGAATTGTAATGTTGGAGAAAATATTTTGGACTTCAGCCAGTATAATATGAAATAAATTCAGGCTCAATGAAATTACAAAAAGGGAATCTAAAGCTTAAATATTTGGAAACATAATACAAAGGCAAGACTCCTGAAGACTCCTGATGTTTGGAAAAACCAAGATGAAAGGAAAAAATTGCATCACTGATGATGCAAGCTTGAATTTCCTAGAGGTCAAAAAAGCAGTTAATCTTGATAAAAGGATGTCCATTGGCTGGCAAGTAGAAATGCCTGAACAACAAAAACAATTTCCTTCCCTGTTTTTATTAAACTCAAACAAAAATATCAATTTCAATACATTAAAAATATTTTTGTTTGTCAAAAAGTAATAATGAATAATATTGTACACCACCCAGAGTCACTTCTTGTGAGATGGGTGGCCATATACATTTGATTAATTCAAAAATTTGACATAATGTTAAATGGGTCTGAAATTATTCAGCTCTGCAATGGTAAAACTAAATGCAGGTAAAGCTAAGAAGCAATGAAGTTACAAAAAGTGCATATCTATCAGCAAGGCAATTTTTTGGAAATGGAATCCTAAGTCATCAAAAAAGATAAAAGGTACGGATAATGTTAAAGCTTTCCTGCTCTACTGCTGAATTAACAATTAGCAAAGGGAAGTTGGTTTCTGTCTCTTGATAGCTATCTGCAGTCTGAAGCATATTAGTAAGGGCAGTGTAAAAATGTGAAGTGTGTCCATGAATGTGTCTTTGTACAGCATATAATGTTCAGAGGAGAAAGCCGACAATATTTTTGGAAGAAGAAAAAAAAAATACTCATAATCCAAAGAACAATGAAATTGACTTCAAGACTTAAACACTGGGGTAGATAACTTTTTAAGTGAAAGAAGATTCATTATAATACTGCACAGAACAATATGAAAATCAGATGTTCTTGGAAAAATAAGGCACAATACTGATCAATTTACTGCATATAATCTCAAAGCTATGCCATGATCTTTAGTTTCCTGAAATGGAGAAGATGCCTCTTCTTCATTCCAATCACATTTGTTTTACAAGGAGAGAAAGAGAATAAAATCTTTTAGCTTTAACACCAATGTTCTTATTTTAACAATATGTGCTGTGAACTTATTATAAGATATTATATGTTTGTTTTAATTCTGTTTTCCATTTAGTTTCTAGAAGTTTTATATTATTGTTCATTGATTGTTATTAGCTTACTAGAGTTCATATGCAAGATGGGTAGCCATATACATTGTCTAAAACAATGGAATACATTCCTAAGAGGTCTGTAAGGGGCATGCATAAGCGCACCAGCATGCCTACGGTCCCTGTCCTAATGTTTTCTTTTATTCGTATCCTTTTCATGTATTTATAATTATGTTTACACTTGTACCTGTCATAAAATACATGCTTGACAAAATAAAATAAATAAAAAAATAAATAAATGTTATTTTCAAGCTCCTAGTCTAGTGTTACAGCCTTGGTATTTTCAGTGGTTTCTCATCCAAATATTAACCCTGTTCAACTTGTCAGTATCAGCCAAGTTTAATAGATTTTGCTACCTAGCTAAGTGCAAGTCCACGTAGAAAAGTCCATGGGACCAGCTGCAAAAACCTTCTTCAACCCTGCTACTAGGAGAGTATCCATTTTCCAACTAAACACAAAGAGACAGCTTAGGGATGTTCACTAATGCAGTGGAACAGATGATGTGGGGCTGCTACTATTGCCCTCCATAGACACCTGTAGGGTGTAAGGTGGTTACTTAACTCTTCCTAATGGAAGGGCTGTTCCTGCCAAGATAACTTGCTTGAAGCATGGATGGAAAAATAAGCAGGATAGATGTGATCTTAGAAGACCTGACAAGGACCTTGGAACACACTGTGCATAAGTAACGATTCTTCTCATATGCACACTTTTCCTAACATTTCCAAAGGGATTACTGTGCTACATAATTTCAAAAAGTTGAGGGCACGTGAAGTTTGGCATTCTAATCTGTGCCATTTACAATACAAATTAGATCACAAGTAACAGGTGACATGATTTAATTGAATGTCTTCCATCTGCAATGCTGACAAAAGGTAAATGGAAATAAATGAGTCTGGCAAGGCAGCCCTTGAGCCTTATGATACCCAATATCTTTTTTAAAAGAAGAGTTATCTATAAAACCGATGCTGACAGGCCTCCAACATTTTATTCCTGGACAAGATTAAATGAATGTTTTAATATGAGGAAAAAAAGGACAAATAACAATGTTGCCTTAAGCACGGAGAATTGCCATTATCTCCTCTTTAATGTAATTAAAGGAAAGTCATTACTCATGAAATAAAATAAATCCTTTTATTATCCAGGAGACCAAAATTTATCAGGTCCAAAATTTACAGCCACTGAATTATTAACAAGCAAGCACTAAGATTTCAGTTTTACACCCAGTTCTAATTACCCATTTACTTAGGATGATAAAGCATAGCTGGAGCTGTCTCCAGAATTTCAGAACTATTTTATATAGCTTGCCTGAATCCCATTGGTAAATATTTTTGCCACTACTGGGCAGCTGTTAAATTCATTTCAAAAAAGCAAATATGAGCAACCAAATCTTAATTAATTGCTTTATACAGTAATCCAGTGCAATATTAAACTATGTTAAGAATCAGCATAAATATGTCAGACCATTTCCCAACAGATCCTTAACAAACCTCTTCATGAGGTTTTTTTTTTTTTTTTAATTTGATTTATATGCCACCCTTCTCTGGAGACTCAGGGCGGCTTACAGTGCCTTAAGCAATAGCCTTCATACTTTTGTATATTTATACAAAGTCAGCTTATTGCCCCCACAAACTGGGTCCTCAATTTACCTACCTTAGAAAGGATGGAAGGCTGAGTCAACCTTGACCCTGGCGAGATTCGATCTTACTTTAATTGCAGACAGCTGGTGTTAAATTACAGTGCTTAGTCTGTTGAGCTATCTAGGCTCTTTTGATGCTATAATAGATACATTCAGGGATTCCTGAATTCTAGGGCTGAAATTGGACTTTTTTTTCTTTCTGACCTACAAAATTATGTAGAAATAAGAATATTAACCTAAACTGTACAGAGTAATCAGCCTTTCACTATCCAGATGTGATTTCAGACACTATTTATCAGAGCCTTCAGCTAATTCCAATTTAATTGGATGATATAAAAAGAGAGGTCAAGCTACCAATGGCCGCTAGCCAGGATGGGTTTACAGTGCCTTCAGTATTATAGCTCATGATTAGGAAAGTGGTACCAGATTCAAGTCTTGTTTATGGCCACTGAAGCAACAAAATGCTAAAATGATACTACTGGTCTAGCAGGCGTGTTCTTATATTCTTAAATCCAAAGGCTGATGTAACTGACCAAGAAAAACCAAAGCA